TGGGGCCACTTCACATCCACACCATAGCAGCAGCTGTTCCTGGGAGAACCTGTGTGCTTGACAGACCACAGCTGCTGTCCCGCGACCTTCTTGACCTCCACAGCCCTTCCCCATGAGCCACCCCATGCCTTTGCATGCAAGGTCCCCACCCGGCCCCTTTGGCCTCATATTCCAGACTTTGGGCATGTAATAAAGTTTGTGTGTTCTTTTTTTCTGTTTATTTCATAGACTAAAGTCACCTAACCTTCAAACTTCCCCTGGAGTGTTTCCCCAAGTTCTGCATTTTCCCTCGCTCCAGAAGAAAGCCATCTTTCAAGAGAAGGGTGCTGCCGCAGAACAGGCCTTCTAAGGGGAGGAGACTCATCTTTCCTCAGTGGGTGTTCTAGCGGCCATTGTGAGGACTCAGTAGTCCAGGTGACCCTGCTATGCAGATCAGAAACCACACACTGAGCCCACCCTCCTCTCCTCCATCGCAAGCCTCCTCACAGACCTCCTCTGATAGTCCACTTTTTCATTGCTGTGACCAAAAGAGCCAGCAAGAACAATTTCAGAGGAATTAAATTGCTTCAGAGGTCTCAATTCCTAGGTGACTGGCTGCATGGCTCTGCATCCAAGGTGTGGCAGAATATCATGGTAACAGAATGTGGTGGTGGAAAGCAGTCAGGACAAGGCACCAGGAGGCAGAGAGAGCTCCCCTCACCATGGACAAAATGAAAAGCTCAAGTGCACACCCCCAGCAACCCACCTCTGCCAGACAAACCCTTCCTGCCCAGTCACAGCCCAGCTAATCCCTAACAGCGGGTTAATCCACTGACTAGGTCACAGCTCTCATTTGACTTCTGAGCCTTCTTTCACTATCTCACACATGAGCTTCTGGGGGACACCTTGTATCTAAACCATAACACCTCCAATGTTTCTGCTCAGGTTGCAGATTCCAGGAGTTCCCAGGACTGTGTAGGAGATAGTGATCCACATCTGCAGCTATGGGCTCATGCTTGTAGTGGCTGATCCAGAGTATAAAGCAGATGAGATATTTTAGTGGACTTGTTAATATTGTCACCTGATCCTTAAAATTCTCAAATCCTGCCACCTAGAAGCCCCGTGGAGCGTTACCTATAAGAACACAAGGTGCCATGTGGAATTAGCCTCTCTTAGCATCTCACTGAGACGCTCTTGCACACCTTAGTGAAGGCTGTCACACTCAACACGCGTCTCTCTGTGCCTCTGTGGACTGGTCAGTGTGGCCAGCATAGCCACCAACTAAAGGGGACCTACACATGGCACAGAAAATGAAGACTGGAAGAAAGTGTACCATACTATGCATGAGAAACACATGTGCCATCTTTGAAACCTTTACAGGGGGCTTCTAGCCTGTGTCTGTCTCTGCACAAGGCAGTCTGTACAGCTCAGCCTGCTCACATGGAGTTGGTGGTCTGTAGTCTCCTATCTGCAGTGATTTGTTAGTATTGAGCATATTTACACCTGTGCCTTCTGAAGGTCTCTGCAGTTTGTCTCCATCCTCTCTTGCTTGGCTTAGGGAATTGTGCATCACTTCTTAGGACCACCTTCCCCTCAGTGTCTGAGGGGTCCCTCCAGCTCTTAGCAGAGTCTGTGACCACTCTTCACCATTCTCAGGGCTATGTGGATGAGGCACTGCCAGGGTCTGTTGAAAAACAGCTGTTTCCCACATCTTATACTTGCTTGTATTTCTTTAAGATGATCCTGAGGAACCCCATGGACATCTCTAGGATCTTCCCTTACATATTGCAAAGGCCAGGTCCTGGGGGTGCAGGCCTGGGTGAGAAGCCAAGGGGTCCTCTGAGCAGCTGCAGAGGGCAGCAGGGGGCCCCACTGCCACCTGCTCCTGGCAGTTCCTCCTCCTCTAGAGCTGTTTTGCCGAAACTCTGACCTGGGCCACTGAGGGTATTTATTACACAAAGGATAATTATATCGAGTTTGTTTTATTGCTTTTGATTGTTTTAAATGTTGTTTTGTTTATTTTTTTTTCTTAAGGAGATGACAAACAAAAAAATTTTTTTCTTCATTATTTTATGACATTAAAATTAAAGCATCAAGAATTTAAAGGCTTGGGAAATGGCCCAGGTAGCACGTTGCTAGCACGGGGCCAGAGTCTTTCCCCAATGCTCTGTGGGAAGATCTCTTACCTGGAAGCTGCTGGCTGCAGGGCCCAGAGCTTCCAGCTGACCTGGCAGGAGCGGGCTCCCAGCTCTGCCTTCCTCACAGCCTCCCCATGGATAGAATGACTTCGAGCCTGTCTTCCCAGGATCAGCTCAGTGCTTTCCAGTCTTGAGAAAAAGATCTATCAAGCCTCGAGGAGGAGTGGGACCTGGAAACAACAGTGGCGGTATTTTCAACAAATCTAGTGGACACCCTTAGTATATGGCTAGACAAAGCTATTCTCAATCAAAATTGAAAACACTGAGTCATTCATTCTGGAAAAGTGCTATTAAGATATATTTCCCATTATCATGAAATTTATAAGCATCAGGTACAATTTCATGGATCCTAACATATTCACAGAATTGGGCAATAATTACACCATTTATTTTAGGCATTTTCTTTTTTTTTTTTTTTTTTTTTTTTTTTTTTAGTGGTGCTGGAGTTAAACCCAGGGCCCCAGGCATGCTAGGCAAGCATTCTGTCACTTGTTTTAAACTTTTGTTTTGAGACATGGTCTTGGTAAATTACCAGGTTGAATTCAAATTTGCACTCTTCCTTCTTTAGTCTCCCAAGTCCCTGGGATTGCAGGTGCCATGCCCAAGCTTCATTAACATCATTTACTGCCATCATTCCAGGAATGTACGCATGAGTTAATAGTATATCATAAACATTATTATTTATTTTAATATTAATGTTACATAATTCCATGTGTCCAGTTTTCTGCTTTGTCATTCTGGATGAAAATTTCTATCTAGATTTATGTAGATATTATAGTATATCTTTCAATAAATCAAGAAATTAAAATGTTTTGAGCAAATAACAGAAAAACCAAGTATCTCTTGTTTTTATGAAAATTTATGCAGTGCTTTGGCCTAGAATTAAATGTCTTATCCTCAACCCTCTTGACCACTCACACTCGGTAGTGGAAGAGTGTGGATCAGAGACAGTCCCACCACATGGGAGGAGAGACATTCTGTGAAGAGGAACGGAGGACCTGGCTGCTCCTCAAGGACATGCCTTGGCTGAGGTATCACACTGCTGAGGTGTCCCTCCTGGAGAAGACTGGGCTGTGTCTCCTGCCACTGAGGGGTCTCAGGAGGAATGAGAGTGTGCAGGCACACCCATGGTGAGGAAGAAGTGAACAGGACACACTCAGAGCAGCCACAGCCCGTGTCCATCAATAGCAGGACTTGGTCCAGGCTGCACAGAGAGCTCTCAATCCAGGTTAAGTGACACAGTGAGGACCTCAGACCTACTTCAGAAGACACAGAAACACCAGCCCAGTGACACTTATAGAGGAGTCACCAGGAACTGCTTGCCCAGCTTTGGTCAGTTGAAGGGAGTGACTCTGCAGTGACAGTTGGTTTGGAATGTCCTGTGTTCTGATTCAGTTGGAGAGCCAGGTGGATGCTGGTCTGCAGAATGCTGTCCTCAACACCAGGAAGGTCCACCACAAGGTAGCTGGCACTGGGAACTTGCTGAAGTGTGGCCTCACAGCTGAATCTCATCTTGTCCTCCAGAGGAGCTTCTTTGATGTAAAATGCATCTCATTTGGGGTCAGGGACTGAACCATAATAGAGACAGAGCTGGTCAAGGACCTGAGCCCTTGTATTCAGCCACCTCTTCTGAGGTGTCAGCTGTTCTCCATGCAGAAATGCCTGGACATTATGTTTGAGGAAGAGCTTGGGTGGAGCCAGTGGTTCAGTGGTCCAGGGTGTGACTAGGGTCTCAAGATTTGGTGGTCTTTGTCCCCAGGGAAGCAGTTGCATTACTGTCCCAGGTCTGCTATCTCTGGTATGTCCCTTATTGTAAATGCAAATATCCTCAGCTGTGGAATATCTCTACTCAGACCATGTCACAGGGTCGACTTGGGGATCACAAACCATGATGCAAAAGCTCCCCAGAAGCCGCAGATCACCATACCCAACAGTGGAGGAAAAGAGCTCTTCCCCCTCTCCTGCCTTTAACCACCCACTCCTTCCTGGAGGCAGCCGCTAGCCAGTGTGTGGCTTTTCCTCCCAAGTATTTAAAATTGAAAGGCTGTGCACATTTATGCTGAGCCAGCCATCTTATACTAAAGCTTTACCTGCATCTGGTTACATTCAGCCTCATGATACCAATAAAGAGCCTCATTTCAGTGCTCAAATGACAGTGCAGAGGACCCAGGACACAGGATTGCATGATTTACCCAGGTCCATGGCTGAAAGCTGGTCTGAGCCCAGGCCCTCTGCACCAGCACCTAGATGCTTAGGCCCTCTGCTCTTCTGGCTCATCTACAGGAACACGGTCCCCACCCACCCCATCTGCAGGTGTGCTAAGGGCCCTCTCCACGACCTCCCTGAAGCCCCACTCTGACTCAGGGGGCTCTATGGGGCACCAGTGAACACTGGCATCTGAATTTAAACTCTCAATCTCAGCAGCAATTCCACCCTGGACTAGGAACTTTGTATGGGCCACCAGGAGGAATGGGAGCCATGAGCGTCCAGGAAAGCACAGCTCACAGGCCAGCGCCATCTGTGGACTTAACATTTCAGGCTGACCAGAGTGTCCTTCAGCTGCACAGCTAGGACTTGAGCCCCATTCCTGTCCTGTCCTCCCTCTCCAGGCTTCTTCTGCCCAGGACAGTGGCCCAGCAGCAGCTCGGTCCAGGCTGGTGAAGCAAATTCCTCCGTCCACTCTGGTCCTGTGTCCACATGGAGCCAATTCCCTGAGGAATTCATGAGCAGCCCCACCAATGTGCTTGCTGACAGGTACTCTGTGTCCTCCTGGCATCCTGGGGCCCTGCTTCAGGAAGAGGCCCCTCTAATACCAAGGTAAGATGGGAAATTGCTGGTTTACTTATTTTCAAATGAACTCGTATGGAAATCTGATGTCACACATGACAGATGACATGGAGGTTTCCTTGGTGGGGTGGACTGCCTCTCTCATCATGTGACACAGGGCCAAGGGGGCATGCCAATGGCAGCACCAGCCTGTCAGCTGTGTGGGAGGGACGTGTCCTCAGCCCCTATCTTCCTCCTGGATCAAGAGGCTTGTAATTTTCCACCAAGACACATGAGAAAGGGTGACATCCCTGTCTTTCTTTGGGGGTGCTGCACCTGCCTTGGGGCCTTTCACTGGACAAGAGAACTCAGGCCTAGGCCCACAGTGCCCAGACTCCCCTGAGTCTCAGTGCTTCCTGTAACTGCCTTGGTCTCAGGATCAACTGTAAACAAGAAGGTTCTGGAACCATCCTCACTGAGGGAAACCCTAGGTGAGGAGAAAGGTGGGCTTTCCTGCTGGCTCTGGCCTGGGAGCCTCCCTCCTGCTCGCTGTAGCTGGGGAGGGCTCGAGATGTGGGGACAAAACTCACCTTGTGGGTGAGGAACCTTGGGCCCCTTTGAACAGACCATTAGTCCTCAGGCATGTGGGTTTGCCTGCCATTTCCACTGGTGGATCTGTGTGGTGTCTCCTTAGCAGCACGTGCTATAAGCTCAGATCTCCTTTAACAGCAAAATTGGTAGACTCTACTCCTGGCCTCTCAAGGTGCTGGGAGATTATGCATGTGCATAGGAAATAGATGCTATGTGAAGGTCACTAGGCCATTAATAATCACCAAGGAAAAGTAGAGCATGAAAGGTTCCATCTTCCTTAAGTGTCATCTCCAGAGGAGCCCTCCCCTGAGTGATGGACATGAGCCAGATGCGCTGCTGAATTTTCATTAATTACCATGAAACAAAGTAACCATCCCAGTCCTTCCCCACACTAAACTCAGTCCAGGGTCCCAACAGTGCTGTTCCCATGCAGAGGAAACTCCCACCCTCTCAGAACTGTCTGATGGGCAGAGGTCTGGGCCTGGCCTGGGTCCCTTCCTTGGAGTCATTAACACAGTGTGTCCATTGCAGCTGCAGCTCACAGGACTGGCTCTGAGGGCTGCAATGATCCTAGGCATGTGGGAGTGTCACCTTGAGTTGTGAGATTTTGCAGGTGTGAGCCTTGACTGCTGAATCTCTGACCACACAGAGCCCAGGTGAGTTCTGAGAAACCAGGGGAGGAGCAGGGCGAGGTGTGGACAGTGTGTCCTCCCTGCATCTAACGACTTCCCACTGTGTCTCTAAAGGTCCTCTGTCAATAGAAGATATGATTCCAGTAGTGACCATGAAGAAACTCCAGGTAGATTCCAACAGTGAGACAGGACCCAAGGGAAGGGCGTTCCTGAGAGTCACTGAAGTATAACTGCTCAGCTGGAGACAGAGCAAGGGGCTGTGAAATCAGAAAGATTTCACCTTCAGCAGCTAATGGTGCAATAAAAGAGCTGTGATGTCTATGGGCTTTGAGTGCTTGATTCCCAGCCATCTTGCTCTGCTGTCAAGGTGTCTTTCCCATCAGATCAGCTGTCTCCTGAATCTGCCTCTGACACGCCTCAGCCCTGGGGTTGCCTGGTTAACTCCTGTTGAAAATGGAGCACAAAATCTTTGGGTGGGGTCTGGTGCAATAAGAGATACTTGGTTGACGTATAACTTATTTAAAACAGTTTAATTTCTAGACTTGCTGAAAGGTGTGTTTTAAATGCATATATACTTAACCAGAGATCTTCATTTTGAGAAAGACAAAATGAAACAGAAAAATAAAGATACACAGAACTGTATTTAAATCATTATATAAAGTAAAATATTAAATTACATACATATAAATTGTTTATGCAAGGAGGTCAAAGCATGGGCTCATCATATGATCATGACCCAGTATATCTGTTATTTTGCATGTAAAGATAAAAGCAGCAGCAAAATGTTTAACGTGAAACATAAAAGCTTAACAGAAATGGGAGAAATTACTTTTTTATTTACATTTTAGAGAAATTTAAAGCAAAGTAAAACAAAATAATCTTAAAAAAAACACACTTGACTCCTGAAATGTAAGTGCTGAGTGTAAATCTCTGCATCGCTCCTGGCCTATTTATTTCCTGTAGGGCTTTCTGTGAGAATCGTGATCCTCCTGGTCAAATCAATCAGTGAGAGTCCCTCTGGCTTATCCCTGGGAGTGTCTGCAGACCATCTGTAGCTTTTCCTTTCAAAATAAGTGACAGAACCCACGAGGACCCAGGCTTTGCATACAGTGAGACACCCCACAGCATGCACCCCAGTGCATGTGGCTGCTCCCTTTTTGATTCCCTGTCATGTGGTGATGCTGTCAGGTAATGCTTCAGGGCAAACAGAGGAGACCACCTGATCTTGGGCTTTGAGAGTTTAAAAAAAGCAAAAAAAAGACTGTGACCTAAATTAACATTTTTCTTTACAAAGTGGCCAGACTCCGGTATTTTATAATAGCTCTCTTTCCCATCATGTCTGCCTGGAGAGTTTAGGAGTACCAAAGACCTGCACAAATAGCTCCCAGGGTGCTATGGACCTCAGAGATTTTCCTCTCCCTGACTGCAGTGCCCTCAGGACAATCAGGAACTTGTATCCAGGAAGCAAAGGTTCTGAAGACTCACTCCATGTGGCACCAGGGGAGCTGCTGCCTGCTGTTTTGAGCACAGCATGGGGCCAGCCAGCTGTGGGAACAGGGGTTGGAGGCTACTAAAGAAGCACACTGCCAAGTAACAAGCCTGGCCAGGCACCCCTGCCCCAGATCAGCTGCTGGGGGAGTGCCTCAGGGTGTGTAAGGGGGTCCCCTGGATAATCCTCAGTGGCAACTTCCACAATAAAAATCAGAACACATTCTCTTCCTGCACCGATGGGGCCAGCACCCTCCCAGAAGTATGCAGTGGGCGTTTTTGTCCACTGTGTTTTTTTCCACAAGTGGACAGGCCATGGCAGAGATGAGTGGTGCAGACAAGTGGCTGAGTGGAAGAGCCAGACGGGTGCCAGTGCCTGAGGTCCAGTGTGGATACTATGAACCACAACCTGGAGAGGCCACTCAGTCAGGCCTAAGTCAATGTGCCAGGGGACTCCAGCACTGCCAGCTCTGACTGGACTATCCAGCCTAGAGATGGCCCAAACACCACCCATCATCTGACAGTCATAGTTCACGGCACCTGAGGCAGCTTGTGCACGTGGGTCAGTAGGCATTTCCAAGGCACAAGTGGAAAAGGTGTTTGGGGCCATGTGCTTCTGGCCAGATCACAAACTCTGAGGCTGGAGACACCACCTAGGAGGAATGTCCAGCTGCTGGAGGCCCTGCATACTTAGGTATCTCCAGCACACCACCAATCTTCAAATCCCAGAGGGAACTGGGGAGATGCTTCCTGTATTCTGTACATTAGGTGTGAGCCCTGTTCCTGCACACTACAGACGTGACCACTGAGACGACTGAGCACTGCAGTGCCCCTGGGCCATCAGCTGGGGTCTGCACCTGGTGGCCCACACCCTAAAAGGTGATGCAGAGAGCCTCCATGTTCAAAGAGCGTCTCTCCTCACGACTCACTCCCTCTGTGTTGGTTGGCCAGGACACAGGGAGGGAACCGAATTAGTCGACAACTCCACACAGCACTGCAAACAGAACCAGAGTCCATGATTCCTCATTGTCAGTAAAGTCAAGATGGCCATGGAGGGGCCTATCCAAGAAAAGGTAAGACTCTCCATGGCCCCCATGAGCCATGGTGGGGAAGGAAGAGGCAGCAGGTGCCCGCCCAGCGCTCCTGGGGCCTCGCCCCTTCTCACCAGGCTGGTCCTGAGGCTGAGCCAAGCAGACACCAAGACCACAGAGCCACAGACTCAGCTCCTTAGATAACCAAGCGCCAGCCCAACGGCCACCTCTCCAGTCAACTCCCAAAGATGCCATGCAGGATGCATCAGTGAAGGGGAGTTCCTTCTCTGTAGGACACTCCTGTGACAGTTGGTTTACAATATCCTGAGCTCTAAGCCACTTGGGGCAAAAGGGCACCCCAGTATGTAAGATTGGTCACCTGGGCTCCCAAACACACTGAGCGACAATAGGCAGTGTGAAGATGGTGGGAATGCAAGACCACAGGCTCCCCTTCAAAAGACCCTCTGAGCACATCCTTGGTAGGAAACAGTGTCATGTTTGGTGCTTCAAGTCAGAGGAAAAGGAAGGATTTATGATTTGGAACTCACCTGCTCTTACTCCTCCACAGCATCAACTCCATCCTGCCATGAAGCTTGGGCAGGAGGATTTGAGAAAAAGACTGAGGGAAGTCCTAGTGCCAGGGGTCAGGACATGATCTGGAGGCCTCGGCTACTCAGGAGCCCTGTCCTCAGGATCTAAGGACTTCCACCCCCCTGGTCCCTCACTCAGCAGTGCTGTGATTCTGCAAGTCAGCTGTCATCTGTGGGTGTCCATACCCCCAGGAGAAGAACAAGAGGCCAAACGTCTCTAGGCCACCTAACTGGGCTGCTGTCAGACTCAGGAGATGAGGCCCCACGATCTACACCAGTTGTGAAGGACCAGACTCGGGTGAGATGGAAAAGCAAACCCACTATCCACTGCCCTGGAGCCATCCATGCCTCGCTCTGGATCCCCAACCCCAAAGGGTCTCCCTCAGTCCTTTCTCCCTGGGTGGACAGGCAGAGCACCTCTGAAGGACCTGCCCTCCTCTCCAGGCATCTCTGCACATAGTTATTTTTGGCCCCAAACCTACTCTGTGTCAGCAGTCGACAGTCAACGTGGAACACAGCAGTAGGGAGAGGAGGGGAGGGGCCACAGGACCTGCCAGGGCCTCCTGGCTCTAGCAGGGGTCTCAGCCCAGGCGTCACCTGTTACTCACTGGGCCCTAGTGACTGTCACACGTTTCCTCTGCATAAAGGCACTGCCTACACAGTCCCTCTGAGTGTGTTAAGTCCACCCTGAACCCCAGGACCACTCTGAAGCCCAGCTCTGGTGCAGCTGGAGCAGCTGGGCAGCTTGTGAATGGTGGGATCAATCTTTTGACCTTGTACCAAGCAGTGATTTCACCTTGAATTAGAAAGTTTTTAAGCCCAGGTAAAATGAACCTGATGGGCATGTCCTCCAGGAAAAGCTTCTAACTTCTACACCAGTGTCTCCTAGGCTTGATTTGGGGCCTCTGAATGGAGCAGTTTTCCATTCCACTTTCTATCTTCTCCAAGAGAACTGAAGACCCAAGAAACACTGCAGCACACAACCTGACCCATGGTGCTTTCTTCCTCGAGTGCTGGGTGGACACGAGGCCAGTGAAAACCATCTGCACCCTGATCACTCACTGCTTAGGAACACTGCACAAAAAGGAGGAGGGGCTTCCCTGGTGGCATTCACCTGGACAGCCTCCCAGGTGCAGCTTCCTGCTGGGAGTAGGGACCGGGGTGTGGTGTGAGGAGCTGCTTCTCCAGGTAAATGTCTAAGGCCTGCTCCACACATGGGCACTGAGCTGATTCATAGCTACGATAGAAACCCTCCTCTTAGAGATTATTTCTCTACTGCTGGACTTAAGATCCTCAAAACCCATACCCCACCCATGTCGGGCACTGCTGATGTCTACTGGCCACCGAAGACACACAGAAGTTTCTAGAAGTTTTACTGGTCCCACCTGCTCTGACTCCACTGCCTGCTCAAGGCAGCCCCCTCCCTAGTCTCCAGAGTCCTCCTCATTGCAGAATGGACACCTCTTCTCCCCTCTCTCTACCTCTGTTCAGTCAGGGAGTTAGATGATAGGAAAGGGTTCTGGAAACACAGTGAGTTAATCCACTGGGACACTGATTCCACTTTCCCATCCCACTTCCCTGCACAGGGTGAGAACACACTCGGCACCACCAAAGTGTGTCCTAGGACCCAGGCACAGAAGTGTCACCTAGCCCTCTGATCAGTCTCTGCCTGAAGAGGGCAGCCTGAAATCCCCCAAGGACATGGATTCCTAGTACAGCATCTCTCTCTCTCTGCTGTGTCCAGTGACCACTCTTGAACATAGACATGGGACCAGTCCCTGGATGGTGGGGACTGTCAGTGCCTTACAGGGTGGGGCTGTGCCTGTCCCAAAGGGCCTTCCATCATGGAATCTGAGGAGAGAACTGTGGGAGGCCCTCTGGCAAGGGTCAGTCACTGGTTGGCCAGTGAGTAGCTAGGACTGTCCAAAGACATGACTAAGAAGCTTCCTCCTGTGGATAAAGCTCAACGCCCGTGCCCCCCTCCTGCGCCCCCACCCTCCAGCCCCATCACCTGCCTCCCTCCCCTGACCCGCCAGGCTGCCCTCCCCCCTGTTCATCTGGCTTGCCTTTCCCGTCACTCCCCCATCTATATCCCCTCTCCTCCTCCCAGATCTCACTTCTAAATCTCCATAATCCAGTCCCACCCACAATCCAGCCTCCCAACCAGGCAGCATGGTTGACACACTCATCCAAGGGAGACAGTCTTCCTACT